CGCCATGCTCCGTGGTGCCGGGCTCGGCGGGACTGCTGGGGCCTGCGGCGCTGCCACCTCCTTCGCCCAGCGCCGGCTCCAGAGTGACGCTGATGGGCTCCAGCGAGAAGCCCATCCGCCCGCCCCCCGCCGGGAGGATGACAGCCGCCGCGGAGCTGTTCCAGGGGCGATGGAGTTTAATGCCCTGGAAAATCCAGGACCCTGTGGAGCATGCAGAGGATTCGCAAGCGGGGCGCGTTGCAGAGGTTGCTCCGCCGGCCGCTTATCGGGCTCTTGTGTCGCCTGCTGGGCGGGCTTTGGGCATTTTCTGTGGAAAGCAGCACCCAGCGCTGAAATTCCCCTGGACCTGGCGCTCGTCCCCCTGATAAGGTGGCACGTCGCCGTCCTGCGGGGTGTCCCTGGGGCCGTGTGTTTCCGGGAACGGCACGCGGGCGCCCTGGGGAATGCACGTGTGTTTCTGCTAAGGATGAGTTCAGCCGCAAATGCCACGCAGGCAATTTCAGGTGTCCCGCTGGGTACGTCCAGCACCACTTTTAGCTCACCCCCAACTCATGTTGACCTCAAAGCCCCACAAGAGCAGGGTGGGCAGGGAAAGCCAGGGACCCTGCTGCCTGCCCCCTCCCCAAATCCGCTCTTGTCGGAGTTGTAAGGAAGCTGGCCCTGCCCCAGAGCCCTGCGTCCCTCCTGGGCGGTCGTTCCGCGCGATTTTAATGCCGCTGTGCGCTCCTGCTTTCCCGACAAGGTACCTCACTTTGGGATGCCCAACGGGAGCTATCTCCAGGGGGAGCGAGGTGCTTGCCCTACCCGCATGTGCGGTCGCTGCAGGGTGGCTCTTTCCTAGAGCTTACTGCCATGAACAGCATACGAGGCTGAGGTCTGGGTGTTATTTTGTCCTTATTTTGTCCTTTAGTAGCCTGGAGCGAGCGTTTGTCTGCAGGCCGCCTTAGCTGTCGGAAACGGCCCGAGATGCACAAATGTGAATAAAGTGGGGTACGCCTGCCTGGGCAGCCCCGTGTCCTTTTGGGGTTTGGGTTGGGTTTTCTCTTGTTTCGAGAGTGTCTGTCTAAAGGGGAGGGTTGAAATCTGTCTCCTTGGTTGGCGCCCCGAGCGACGTGCCTCGCCTGTGTACCTGCCTGCCCGGGAAGGTGAGGTGGCCGGGGGGCCAGCCCTGGCACCATGGGGGGCTTCGCCGGTGCCAGGGTCATCGCTGGTGGGCACAGGGACCCGCGGCTCGGCTGGGAGATGGATGGAGGTGCAGGTTTCCCACAGCTCGCCATTAGTCCTTGCTCTGGAAAGGCTTAGCAATTCCTACGTGGTAAATTATGTGCCATTCCTTAAAAAAGTGGATTAAATAAATGGGGCTAGAGCATGTCTTTTTTGCTCTTAGCTTTAGCGTATTGATTTGGACATATTTTCAGGCCGGGAGTAATCAATTCTTGGGTAGATGGGCAGAATAAAATAATTTCAGGCAAACTCTTCGAGCGACTTGTCATTAATTTGCCTTTTGCCGGCGCTCGTTGAGGCCGGGAGAGATGCGCTCAGCGTCCTCCGGGCGCCGGCGGAGCGGTGCCCTGGGGATCTCCTGGGGAGGGAGGGAGGGGGCCACCGGGGCTAATGAATGCCCTGTGTTTGCTCATCTTTCCAGAGTCACTTATTAGCGCTAATTGGGAGGGACAGTTCAAACAAGCACAGAGGCGCAGTTGTTGTGGGAGTGTGACAGGGGTTTAAAGAAGCGGCCGGGGAGGACCGGGCTGCCTGGCCCCAGCCCCCTGAGCCCGGCC